ATTCCTGGTCTGCACCAGGTCCGGCCCCTTTCCCTTCGCTGTCCGGGGCCAGGCACGTGGTAGGCATCTTGGGTGCCCGCCCTGTGCCAGGCATAGATGCCATGCATTACTGGACTCTGCTCTTGTCTTTGCCCTTCTTGTCCATTCTGTGCCCAGGCCAGGGCCCCACACGGGCTCATGGTGGGCTCATTGAGATAGGAAGATTCCAGGAAGCCCTCGTAGTGTTCTGGAAAGGCGGAACCTCGTAGATTCTCTAGTTTTTTCCAGGGGCTCTTGGTGGGCTGGCCCCGAGGGTCTTTTCCCCAAGCCAGCTGTGCCTCAGGGCCCGGGGGGAGGTGAAGGCGTCCCACACCTTCATGCGCCCGTCCCTCTCTCACCTTGCAGTATGTCATCAAGACAGTGGAGGTAGAGTCCTCTAAGACCAAGCAGGCCCTCAGCGAGTCCCAGGCCCGGAACCAGCACCTGCAGGAGCAGGTGGCCATGCAGAGGCAGGTGCTGAAGGAGATGGAGCAGCAGCTGCAGGGCTCCCACCAGCTGACTGCACAGCTCCGGGCGCAGGTGCGCAGGCCACAGGGTAGGGGGGTGCATGCGGTTGTCGGGGAGCACGTGCACACAGCAGAAGTGGGCCTTTGGTACAGTGCAGCAGTTGGCACTCAGGGGTCCGACAGACCCAGATTCTGGTCCCTCCTCTCCCTGCTGGCCATGTGACCAAGGGCCACTTTTGCCCAAGTCTCTGCTTCCTCATCTGTAAAATGGTGTGATCACGGAACCTACCTCACAGCAGGGCTCAGGGACAGCATCACGAGAGGCTCTTTGCATGGGGCCCAGCACACATGGTCTCGGACAGGTGCTCTACTCAGTATCATAACCAGTGCTCTAACTGCTTTCCTGGGGCTTATGCACCTGTTATGTGCCAGGACCCAGGCTGGTGCCAGGGCAACCCAGGGAAAAAGCTACAAGGAGCTCCCGGCCCTATGAGGGAGAGAGATGCCTGTGTGTGTGTGTGTGTGCGCGTGTGTGCGCGCGCGTGCATGTGTGTGTGCATGTGTGTATTGTATGTATGTGTGCATGTGTGTGTGGGGGGGTAAGAAGCGGGGCTTCTTTCTGGCACCCACTCCACTCCCTCCGAAGCCCCATGTATTGAGCTTCTGGCCTTGGCTGCCAGATCGCCATGTATGAGTCAGAGCTGGAGCGGGCACACGGGCAGATGCTGGAGGAGATGCAGTCCCTGGAGGAGGACAAGAACCGGGCCATCGAGGAGGCCTTCGCCAGAGCCCAGGTGGAAATGAAGGCCGTGCACGAGAACCTGGCAGGTGAGCCGGCCGGCTGAGCCCTGGCCTGCCCCACACCGAAGCCCCTCACCCTGCCGGCTTCACACCTCTCCTGTCCCCACAGGTGTCCGGACCAACCTGCTGACACTGCAGCCGGCGCTGCGGACCCTCACCAACGACTACAATGGGCTCAAGCGGCTTAGGTGAGGGCTAGGGCAGATGCCACGTCCGCCCAGGGCACTCTTCTGAAACACCAGCAGAGGCCCCCAGAAAGCAGTCCCCTCTGCCACTGCCACCTGCAGATACTGTCTGCAAAAACAGACTCGTCAGGGGCAGGTATCCGGGCCTTTGTCTTATTATGACTCTTTGAGTCACACATGTTACAGATACCCTTGTATCTCAAACATGCTACATATATTCTCACATCTGTTGGGTTTAATTTTATTTTTCAAGCTGTGCTTGTACAGTAGGAGAATAGCCAACGTCTCTTAAGTGCCTCCTACACGCTGAGGCTTTTATAGCCGTCGGCTCCTTGAATCCGCCCGACAGCTCTGCAAAGTAGACAGACTGATATATTTTAGGACTAGAAAATAGTTCCTTAAAAAATTACGTCAGTCACACATGGGCACGGTAGAAAGTTCAAGCCCTGCGAAAGGGCATCCGATGAGACGGGACGCCTCTCTCTGCCACCCGGCCCCCCAAAGGCAGCCTCCGTGTCAGCATTTCCCCAGAGCATTCTGAGCGTCACAAAACAAAACGTATTGTCTTTTATGCCCCCTTGCCCAACAAGGGGACCATATGTACATGTGGCCTGCATCTTTCTCCTTTCCCCTGTGAGATGCAGCTTGGAGGTCTTTACGTAGCAGCTTCGACAGACCCACAAGTTTAGACGGTGGTGTTTGTCCACATGTTACAGATGAGAAGGCTCAAAGGCATCGAGCCGGTTGTCTCAGGTCTCCCAGCTACTCAGGGTGCAGCTGGGATTTGGGTCCAGCCAAATCCAAAGTCAAGTGCGAGTGCTGTGGAGTGAGGCTGAGTCCAGGCTCTTCGCTTATTAGCAGGGCAACCTTGACCTGCTGGCCTAGCCTCTCTGCGACTCAGTTTCTTTCTCCGTAAGATGGGACTGGTAGCAGAACCTCCCCAGAGGGGTCACCGGGAAAATTCGACGCGTGACAGCGCGTGTCCAGGATTCAACGCAGGGAGGGGGTGGGGGGCAGAGAGCGGCCTGTTGGGGGCCAGGCGGCCGTGGGCTGGGGCCCTGACGGCGCTGCACGGCCCCCCCCCAGATCGGCCAGGCCATCGAGGAGGTCAACAGCAGCAACCAGGAGCTGCTGCGCAAGTACCGCCGGGAGCTGCAGCTGCGCAAGAAGTGCCACAACGAGCTGGTGCGGCTGAAAGGTGACCGCCCGGCGCCGGCCTGGCTCAGAGGGGGCCCCGCCCTCCCCCTCGGCCCCCAGCACCTCTCCAGGCAGCTGTGCCCTGTCATTGAGGAGCTGTCGTGATTCCCTTTTCGAGGGTGAGGCAGCGGGCACAGGGAAGTCGGGGACTTGGATCTGTCCAGCTCGGAAGCCCTTGCCCGACGCCCATGGCAGGCGACTCTGGCTCTGGGTGGCCACGAAGTCGGGTATTGGAACGCTGGGTGGCAGGTGGTTGGAATGCCGCTCGTTCTGACCTAGGGCCTGGTCAAGCTTGAGAGTTCACGTGTTCCCCGCACAGAGGGCTGGGGAGCGCCCATTCTGTGCCAGGTACTGTTCCAGGCGCTGAGATATGGCCACGGGCTCCGCGGACACCGTCCCTGCCCTCTCGGCGGTCGGGGGCTTCCCGGGGGAGGTGCAGCTAGAGCTGAGACCTGGACCGTGAGTCCGAGTAGACAGGTGCAAGGGGAAAGTGGGCTTAAGCTGGCTGTGGTGGGGAGTTTCCTCTTCATTCCAGCAGCTCTGGGGTCCCCCTGCAGGACTTGGAGCAAGGAGGTGACACCATCAGATCTGTGCCTCCAAACACCCCTGGGGCTGCCTCGTTCCTGTGCCTGTTCAGTGCTGCCAGCAGCCCACCTGCTCTCTGGTTCCCAGGCCCTGTCCTGTCATTCATGTCGTATCTTTTATGACGGTAGAACAAGTCCCTTGGCTTACTGGGACCCAAGCCTCTCACTGTGCAGATCAGTAAACTGAAGTACGGAGTTGTAAAGAGCGTGTCATACCCCATCCTGGTCAGGCCAGTGTCTGTGTCCCACAGTTGTCCTTTCCTCCCTGTCTTCAAGGCAAAACTCGTACCCTCAACTGGTTTGCTTAGGAAGAGAATGTTCCAATAAGTGAACTTGTACTGTAGTGTGAGTGACTGGTAACAGCTTTGTGGGCCACCTTGCCCTGGGGGCCTTGCTTAGAGCCACTAGCCTGCTTAGGACACCAGCGGACACCGGCACAGAGGCAGTCTGGTCTTGACCTGGCCTGTACCCGTCTGTCCTTGCCAACCCGATTCAGGGAACATTCGGGTGATTGCTCGTGTCCGGCCGGTCACCAAAGAGGATGGGGAAGGACCTGAGGCGACCAATGCAGTGACCTTTGATCCCGATGACGACTCCATTATCCACTTGCTGCATAAAGGAAAACCTGTATCCTTCGAGCTGGACAAGGTCTTCTCCCCGAGGGCCTCACAACAGGACGTGAGTGTGGCTCCCGGGTTGGGGGGAACGGATAGAGCACTGGAGAGAGGGGGAGACATAGAGACTCATCAGGAAAGGGAGAGATAGTGGGGGAGTGGACAGAAAGCAGTGCGAGCGTGGGGGAGACAGGATGGAGAAGCCTGGGGCACCAGGGTCCCTCTCCTCTTCGCTTTGGAGAGAAGAGGGGTGGGAAGATAAGACGGAGGGCCTTGGAAGCATGTGCTGGGACAGAGTGATCGGTGCCTCCCATGTGGCCCCTCCCACCTTCACAGCCCTACCCACTTATGTGGCCCCTCCCATATTCACAGCCCCACCTACCATGTGGCCCCTCCCACACTCACAGCCCCACCCACTTATGTGGCCCCTCCCATATTCACAACCCCACCCATCATGTGACCCCTCCTACCCTCAGCTCCACCCTTCCATGTGGCCCTTCCCACTCTCAGCCCCACCCACCCATGTGGCCCCTCCCACACTCAGCCCCACCCACCTCTCCAGTCTGTGAGAGCCATGTGGTCTCAGCATTGGCTCTTCTCTCTCAGCTGCCAGGGCGAACCTGCCAGGGTCAACCTGCCAGGCCTGTCTTGCCTGTGCCCTGCTGTCTCTGTGCCTGGCTTTTCCTTTGCTCCCGTCCTCTGTCCACTGGGAGGCTGGCAGATGGAGGAGGTGCCAGGAACATGCTGGCTTCTGCCTTCATTTTGCTGTGCCTTCCTTAAGCGCAGGGCAATCTGGGTGGGGGTGGGTCCTGAGCTCCAGGGCTGGGCGGCCCCTTCCTCAGGTCTTGGTGGCAGTAAGTGCTGCCCTGTCTTCCCTTCCATCTCTCGGCAGCCACATTGCCATTGATAACTAGTGCACGTGCCTGACTAGTCACCAGTTCCTCCACAGTGAGCCAGTTGTGCTATATTCCTGAAAGAGAGAGTGATTAGGGGGGGTGGGTGGGTTTGGAGCTGGTGGGGGCCCCTGGTCCCAGCAGTCCTGGCAGCCCCACACCCTCTATGCCACATCTTCTCCCCAGGTGTTCCAGGAGGTTCAGGCCCTGATAACCTCCTGCATCGATGGCTTCAACGTCTGCATCTTCGCCTATGGCCAGACGGGCGCCGGCAAGACATACACGATGGAGGTGGGTGCTTGCTGCATGTGGCAGGTGTTCAGGGAGTAAGAACCACCCCCTTGGTGTTGTCGATGGGGGCACCCCTCCTTGGTTTCAGGGTTCTGCGTCACTCGGTCTTCATAACCACCCTGGGAGCACAGCCCCCAAGTCATTAGGCCTGAAGATGGGACACCTTGCCCAAGTGTACCTGTGATGGTCCCAGTGGATATGGGGAGAGGCAGGTGTGCTGACAACAAACTGGCAGCAGAAGGATCTCGGCCTGAGGTCAGACTCCAGGGCAGACCACTGGCACGGTCTCCCAGGACAGGCTTTCATTGAATCACCCACATGCATTTCTTGGGCTCCTGCTGTATGGCTGCCCCATGCTGGGCCCAGGAGGCCATCGGCATGAATGAGCGAGGGAGACTGACCCACGGGAGCTGTGAGGCGCCCAGCTCCTACCTGCCTGCCGCTCCCAGGGCAGGGCTTTATCTTCCTGTTTGTGGCCGTCCCCTCTCCATGGAGTGTGGCTGGAAATGGGGTCACTGAGAGGAAGAAGAATCTTGACTGTAGAGAAGATGGAAGCCTGGTCCCCGGGGTGTCTTTGATTTGTTAGCTTTTCCCTGGCTCTTGAGGGGGTTGGTGCTGTAGGTTCCCCAGACAGAGGAGGTGGGCGGGTGTCCGGGTGTCTGGACAAGGGTGGGTGAGAAGGCCGTATGAGGAGGCGGCCATTGGTAGCAGTACTTGAGGCCTGGCAAGGAGGCCTGAGCGGCAGAAGTGGAAGGGGGTGGGAGGGGGTGGGAGGTGCCATCGAAGGGGAAGCAAGGGCCCAGGGGAGATTTCCTTGCAGAAAGGCCAGCCCATTGGGCCCCAGGGCACTTGCTCTGCCTGTGCCTCCCCCCCGCCACCCACAGAACCCAGCTCGTGGCCTTGCTGACATCGGGTCCCCCCATGGGCAGTGGCAGGGAAATCGCAGGTTCCCGGTGCCCCTCCCAGGTGGCCCACCAGTGCCAGATACACATCTGGCGTTCAGCAGCCCCTGTGTGCAGTCCCCTGCCAGGCATTTCACCTGGGTGCTGTGCTTTAAGTCACAGGGAAGGCCTGGCAGGGTGGTGCCATTTAAAAGTGGGAAACTGAGGCCCAAGGAGGTGAAGTTGGTGGAGGGCATTCTGGGGGCAGACGGGCATGCAGGTGGGAATTTCGGGCAGGGAGGCTGGCCTGCAAGGGGTAGCTGGAGGGGGTGGGAGCCACAGGCACCCTGTGAGCATCTGCACGGGCCACCCCTCATGGTGAGGAGAGGACCGGCTCACTGGGGCCTTCCTTCTACCCCCAGGGGACCCCTGAGAACCCGGGCATCAACCAGCAGGCCCTGCAGCTGCTCTTCTCTGAGGTGCAGGAGAAGGCGTCCGACTGGGAGTACACCATCACCGTCAGCGCCGCTGAGATCTACAACGAGGTCCTCAGGTGGGCGGCCCGGAGGTGGGCGGCCCTCGGGTTCGAGGCTGTCGGGTGGGCGGCCCCCAGGCCCTGGTGTGCGCACAGGCCTCCCAGGCAGCTTTGTGGTCCTCAGGACCGTGTGGAGTCGTGTGGGATGGGAAGTGGGGTCTCTTTGAAGAAGGATGTGGAGGCTGTATATTAGGACTCAGCCCCGGGTATCTGCCGGTCCCAGGCCACCCCGTACCCCGCCCCCGCAGACCAGCAGGCAGGGAGAGGAGGGCTCTCTGTGAGCCTCCCTGGAACCCCCAGACTGAGGTGCTCCTTTTCCCCTCAAAGCGTCCTCACCCTACCTGCAGGCTGTACCAGGTGGCGATTAAGTGAGAGTGGGCGGGTTGGGGAGCTCTGCCTGCAGGGGCCAGTGTATCCTGGGGGCATTAGCACCACCCCAGGACTTTTGGGGACTGGTCGGTCTCCCTTCAGCAGACTGAGTGCAGGGGAGGAACTGGCGGAGGAGGAGGGGCTCAGCCCGCAGGTCCAGGAAGGTGCAAGGGGTCGGGGCACACGCCAGGCTGGGGGCAGGAGCAGTTCAAGCAGAGGCAGAGCGCAGAGCGGGTGACTGTATCCCACCTGCGCCTCCAGGGACCTGCTGGGGCAGGAGCCCCAGGAGAAACTGGAGATCCGGCTGTGCCCGGACGGCAGTGGGCAGCTGTACGTGCCAGGGCTGACGGAGTTCCAGGTGCAAAGCGTGGACGACATCAACAAGGTGCGGGGCTGGGGGCCGGGGGGTGGGGATGTGCTCGGGAGACCCGCCCGCGAGCCGCAAGCGAGAGCTGCTCTGGAGAAGGACACGCGGGCAGATGCAGGCTCTGCCATGTCCCCACACCCCTCTGAGCCTCAGATTCCTCCTCTGCACAATGCAGAGGGTGACGCCCCCTCACAGCGGTGCTCGGGGACGGGGCGACTCCAAGACCTCGCTCCAGACCCTGCGTCTCTGCCGTGCCACCCGTCCAGGTGTTCGAGTTCGGCCACACCAACCGCACAACCGAGTTCACCAACCTGAACGAGCACAGCTCCCGCTCCCACGCCCTGCTCATCGTCACCGTGCGTGGCGTGGACTGCAGCACCGGCCTCCGCACCACGGGTGAGTGAGGGCGACAGGCGGCCTGGCCCGAGCACCCTCCGCGTCGGTCCTCTCTGGGGCGGCCTTGACCTGCCCAGCACCCTCCCCGCAGGGAAGCTGAACTTGGTGGACCTGGCCGGCTCAGAGCGCGTGGGCAAGTCGGGGGCCGAGGGCAGTCGCCTGCGGGAGGCGCAGCACATCAACAAGTCGCTGTCGGCCCTGGGGGACGTCATCGCGGCTCTGCGCTCCCGCCACAGCCACGTGCCCTTTCGCAACTCCAAGCTCACCTACCTCCTTCAGGACTCGCTCAGCGGGGACAGCAAGACCCTCATGGTGGTACAGGTGAGCGTCTCAGGTGGGCCAGACAGTGGCCCTCAGTGTGTATGGGCGAGGCCAGCACCAAGACCGGGGACCCCTCTCCCAGGTACCCCAGCTGTGCAGGGAAGGGACCCTTGTCCTCTGTGGCTCCAGAGTTGGACAAGCACCCCGCCAGCCTCTGCAGCAGACCTGGCCACGTGCACCCTGTGCACCTCACGAGTTCCTTCACTTTGGCTAGACTCCCCTGGCGGTGAGTGCCAGGGGAGCATGCCACCCCCTCCACTTCTGTGGGGGTGGCTGGCTTGGGTGGAGAGTGAGCCCTCGTGTTCTCTAGGTGTCCCCTGTGGAGAAGAATACCAGCGAGACACTCTACTCCCTCAAGTTTGCTGAGAGGGTCCGCTCTGTGGAGCTGGGCCCCGGGTCCCGCAGGGCAGAGCTGGTGTCCTGGTCCAGCCAAGAGCATCTGGAGGTATGGGGACAGCACAGGCCTGTCTCTGGTGACACGGGGTCAGAGACATCAAGTCAGGGGACAGCCTGGAGTCGGGGGCAGGGGAAGATGCCAGAGAGGCTGAACCTAGAACCAGAACCCAAACCCAATATAGCCTGTTTAGTCCAAGTATGACTTCTCACCTCAGAGGTACCTGTGGGGTCATGAGCTGGGGGGTGGACAGGCTGCAGGCTGGCTCACAGGTGCCCAGGGGTAACTAGTTCGCTTCTTTATGTATGTTGTCTCGTTTAACTCTCACACTGCCTGAAGCAGGGTATCAGCATCATACCCATTTCACAGATGAGGAAACAGTTTCGGGAGGCTGGGAGGGGAGTGGAGGGAAGTGTGGTGGTAGGGGGTCCAGGCCAGCATGGCCCCAGCCCACCCGCTCACCCCTGCACACAGTGGGAACCAACCTGCCAGACGCCACAGCCCTCGGCACGAGCCCATTCGGCCCCCAGCTCTGGGATCACTAGCCGGCCAGGCTCTATCCGGAGGAGGCTGCAGCCGTCAGGTGAGCCTTAGGGAGTGGGCAGGTGGGTGGGTGGGGAAGCTTCCCCCACACATCGGTCACAGCCACTGGGCCGCCCTCACCTGGATGGGTTTTTTCTTTTCTTTCCTTTTTATAAAGTTTCTAAAACTTCTCTAGAACCCGTTTCACAACCTTCTCTGGTCCTGAGAAGCATTCGGGGCAGACAGTGCTAGGTCCATTTTCCAGGTGGGAAATAAGAGATGGGAGATCGAAGGCCACCTGGAGAGGGGGTAGTGTTGGGGATCCTAGCTCGGCTGTTGACTTGAGGACCAGGACTCGAGTCTCCCAGGCTGTACTGGCTGGGCTCATGCAATACACCCTCCAAGGCAGGCCTGGCATCGCCAGCCCCGGGCCCCAGCTCCAGGGGATGGAAAGGGCAGGGCTCACCCAACGTCCCGGATGAGCAGTGAGCCTGGCCAGAGGACTGGACTTCAGGCTTCAGCCTCCCGCTTGGCCCTACCCACGGAAGGGCCTGGAAGTGCTTAGAGTCCAAAGGGGTAGGGGCAGCAGGGTCCCGAGGGGCTTTGGCCCGAGACAAGCCCACTAGTGAGATGCCCATTGCTTTGATTTCAGCCTGAGGCTGGGGCTGCAGAGTCTCCAGGTGAGTGTGGGGCCGGTGGCCCAGGGCTGCCTGCCTGCCACTGCCCACCTGCCGCCTTGGGTCGCAGGGCTGTGTTGGGGGCTGCTCAGGGCTGCGTCTGTCCTGCTGCTGCCTGCTGTCTGCGTGCTTCTGCCTGCCTCTCTCCTGCTCTTAGACAGAGGCTGATGAGCTCCCCTCCTCCGCTCCCGCCCCCGCAGGGAAGTCGAGGCCATTGCCTGTGTGATGGACGCGTCCACCCTGCGGTGCCAGGGGCTGGGTCCCCAGGCCTCACCGGCCTGCTCCTGCGGCAGTGCAGGGAGCCCAGGACGTGAGGCTCCTTTTCGGCTCCGTCTCTCCTCGGAGATGAGAAACATGCTCAGAAGGAAATGGTGTCTCTTGGCTGTGGCTCTGGGTACAAATGGCACGGGCTGGAAGGGCGAGAATGGCCTGCTCTGCCTGGCAGGCCCGGGCCTTCGGGGTGTGCCCTCGTGGGGAGGGTAGCCGTGTGTGGTTGGGGGGCCCTCGCCGGGCTGGCCCAGCTCTCCCGGTCTGCAGGGCGCCCTCTGTGGTGGGTGGCCGGGGAGCCCCTGGAAGGCACAGGAACCGTGGGATTGGGGCGGTTGGTGGGCACCCCACTCTCCGGGCGTGTGTAGTGTTCGTTGGTGTACATAGGAGCGCGGCCCCGGCTGCCAAGGCCGGGCCGTCTGCGGCTGGCAGGAGGCCAGAGGGCGGGGATCCTGCTGCTCACCCGCCTGGCACCAGGCGCTCGCCTTGCTCACTGGCCTCTTGATATTTTCCTCCCTCTGAAATCCTATTTAAGAACTTTTGGAAGCTTAGCCATTTTTACGTATTAAAATAAAAGCCTTTTTACACAGTGGTAGTCTGCAAGAACCGGTCTCGTGAGCCCCCGGCCAGGGAGCAGGGCATTGGCACGTGCCGTTGGCCCCCCGCTGCTGGCTGGTCCCCCGCAGCTCTCCCAACCCGCTCGGATCGCGTGTCCTGACCATTTCGACAGGGAGGGCCCACGCCCCCGCTTCCCTTCGTCGTTACTGACAGACACATGAACAGTGCCGTCACCTCCACCTTATAAATGTAAACGAAGGCTCCTCCAAGGCTTGGCAGAACCACAGCTGCGGCCCTGGCCTTGTCCCCATGAGTGAATTTGCCACCCTCTTCCCAGGGCCTACAGGACCTCAACCTCCAGTGCAAGGCCACCCCCCACCCCAGCACAGCAGCTGTGTTGGTCTGTACTCAGTCTCAGCCTTGTCACTGAGGCTGACAGTGGGGCCTTCCCTCTGACTGGGGCTGGACCTGCCCCCTGCTGTTTCAGGAGCAGAAAAGATGCCCCCTGGGCCGGGGCAGCCGGTCCCAGCCAGACAGCACTGGGGCTCCTGCAGGGAGTGAAGTCTGCTCAGAGCCCTCACCGGAGGACAGGGCAGCTGCCCTTCCAGTCCTGTCCCTGCAGGCCTCCTGGGGGGTGAGGGAGTGTGCTGGGCCCTGGGCCAGCCCAGTGGTGGCCACGTCTGTGAGGCTGGGGTCCTGGCTTCCTGCAGTGTACAGCTGTTGGAGGCGTCCATAGGACAGCTGGGAGCGTGTATGGCGGGGCCCACCCTTCACCTGTTTCCCAGCCAGGGAGGAGTTACAGCCTCCCCTCTCCTCCCCCAGGGTGTCTGAACTGGCCCTTCCCTGCCGGCCCAGCACTCTGCTGCCCCCCGCTGGCCACACAGGCTGGTTCACCACCTCTGGAAATGGAGAGGGTGGTCTCATCTCTGAAGAGGCCAGGCAGGCAGTCCTGTGCCTGGGAGAGCCATGCCGCCAGAGGATGCCCCTCCCGGCAAGAAAACCAGGAAATAGTTACAAATTTAATAAAATTTGCCTTATAAATTACAGCAGCAGCCCCAGGGCTTGGTTCGCTGCCCCAAGAAGCAAGAGTTGGGCAAAGCTGGGCGGCCGTTGCTGGAGAGTTGTCTGAGAGTTCGGGGCTGTGGAGGTGGCCAGTGGGCCAGCGCCGCCGCCTCCAGGATGGCCACAGGGCAGCAGTGGGGGGAGGGCAGAGGCTCGTGGGCTGGTGGGTACACAGGGAACAGGTGTAGGGGCTGAAGCCAGGCCCCAAGGGCTGCCAGGTGTCCCCACCCACTGGATTCCTCAGTCCAGACTGGCCATCAGCAGGTGTAGCTCCCGGAAGGCACTGCCATGGCGGCCGCTCAAGCCCGACTTGCTCCTGACGAGGCCGCTGATGCTCTTGAGCTGCTTGTAGCAGAGCCGGCACTTGTGTAGCCTGAGGGCAGAAGGGCTGCGCTTGAGGTGGCCTGCCGCATGGACGCCATGACCACCACCCGACTCTGGGGCCTTCCAAGTCCTATCCACTCCCGCCTCTCCCCCAAGCCATGCCAGGCCACACCGGGGCTCAGCGCAGAGCCAGGCCACAGAGGAACCCAGGCCCTGGCCACCCCAACCCCATACCCTGAACCACGGACTCTGTCCCAGGCACAATGGCTTCCTACATAAGCTGTTTCAGTAGGGCCATCAACAAGTGGGCTGGCGCCCAGGCCTGTTGTGCCCTCACCTGGCGTGGCACCCCTGCCCCCAACACATGCACGCCGCCTGGCCCCTCACCTCTCCTCCCGGCTGATGTCTACACCCACGGAGGGCGGGGCTGCCAGGATGTCAGTGATCAGGGGCAGAAACCGCTGTAGGATCAGCTTCAGGGAGGTGCAGCCTGTCTGGACATAACTTCAGAGGCAGACGGACAGATGAAGCCACAGACAGAAAGACAAACAGCAAGGTGCACACAGAGGAGCAGAGACAGACAGAGGAGTGGAGGCGGCACGGCTCGTTCTCGCTCTGGCTTCTCTGGAACTTGGAGGGGACAGCGATGCTGCACAGCCACCTCGCACTGGGCACCAGCCCTGGGGGGTCTTTCCCATGGTCCCTGCAGGAGCCCCCTGTCACCTCCTCTCCCTGCTACGAGGCAGGCAGGGCTTCCCCACACGCACCTCTCATACTTGCTCTGCAGAAGCTTCTCAATCTGCGGCAGGACTGTCGTGCACAGGTCCAGCTTCCACAAGGAGCTAAGGAGGGGGCCAGGGACAAGTGCCCTCAGTGCCCGGCCCTACGTGCTCTGCCCACTCCACCCACCGTGGCCACTTACGCTTTCTGGTTGACGATGTTAAGGAGATCCACCACCACTGACAGGTCATTGATGGCCACTGCTGAGTCCACTGACGTCTGTGCAAACAGAGCACCTGTCAGAGAGGACTGGGGACAGAGTGGCCCCTGACTGAGTGTGGTATGATGACGGGGTTGCTTGGGGTGTTAATAAGACTGCCCCTAAAATGATGAGTGCAAGGCTAGGCCAGTAAAGAAGGGCTCAGTACACGGTGGCTTGTGATGGTGAGGATGAAGACATCAAAGTGAAGTTGCCATGCTGTAGACAGGAACTGCCTAACCCCTTGCGTGGCCCTCTCTCGGTTCAGCTCTAAGCCCACGGCAGGAGCAGGTGCTTGCCTTGATGTCGCCCGTGGTCCACACGGCCCGCACAGAGTCCAGGTTCTTGTGGCGGCTGGTGAGCACCACGCACATGGTGTCATGGCCTTTTCGGATCTGCGACATGGCATCCTCGTCAACCAGCTCCGTCTGCTGAGGGATCTTCACGGCCTGGTGGGACAGGGGCCCAGATGCTGGCAGCAAAGCTCTGCACTTGCCTCACAGACCTCCGCCCCATCCTTGGGCTGGGTCCCTACTCACAGGCAGGAAGTCGGAGGCCTTCAGCCCGATGGGCTCGTTCCGGGTGGCAGGGATGATGGCAGGCTCGGCCTTGGGTGCAGGGGTGGAAGTGACGACCTGGGGCCAGGGCAGGACCTCGAGCTGGAGGGGTTCAGAGCTCGGTGGGTGGCCAGCCTGAGGCCTCCCTCTTTGCCCCCAGCATGGGGGTCCCCTAACCTTGGTTTAAGACTCCAGCCCCCCCGAGCCCCACACCATGCCCCATCCACCTGGACGTACGTTTGGCACCGGCAACTGTGTGTCTGTGGCAGGGCTGGGCTTTGCTGCCTCCTTGGCTGTGGCCATGTCTAGAGGAAAAAGGAAAAGATCTCCGGGTCAGGAAGAGGGCAGGGCTCGGGTGGGACTCTGGGCAGCATCTGTAATTGAGGGTGATGGAGCAGGAGCCAGCAGGCAGCCAGGGAAGGAGGCATCAGCGGCACGGGTCCTAGGGAGGCCTGAGGCGGGGCTGGGCCTGTCCCCTACTTTCCACCCACTGAACCCAGGTCTGGCAGAAAGCAGGCATCTAGCTCCGTGTGTGGATGGGACCCAGGGAGCTCCAGGGAGTGGCGACCTGCCACCGCACTAGGAATGTGTGTGTGTTGGGGGTCCTGGTGGTGAGTGAATGGTGAAGAGTCACGAGGCCCTATCTACAGGAGGCCCAGGCAACTTCTCTCACTGTGACCGGTTCGTTCCTGCCCAGCATGTGTCCCATTTCTAGACCCACCTGTGTGGTTGTCTGTCTACCTTCTGCCCTCCTCACTAGGGTGTAGGCTCCTGAGCGGGAGCATCTGCCCGCCTTGTTCGCACTCAATCACCAGGCCTAGCCTGGGCCCGGCACGTCGTGGGTGCTCTGGGGCATATGGAGGTAAAAGACCCAGTGGGAGAGAGGCTAAGGCCAGTGTCTCGGAGAGGGAGAGAACTAGAGAGCTGGGGACCCTGGGGGGCTGGGCTCTGCCTCCTGACTCACCGTCCTCTGGGGGTGCTGGGAAGGGCTCACTTCTTCGGGGTGGTGTCCGACCTGTAGAGGTGAAGGGGTTTGGGGACTCATGTCGGCTAGTCCAGGGCTCCTCTCTGAGCCCCCAGGGCTGGGGTGACCTGGGACCCAGGGCCCTGTCAGGATGTGGGGGGATGGAAGGTCGTTCCCAGGCACGCAGTTGCAGACCTGTGACCCTGTCCCAGCCCCATGAACCCCCGGGCCTGCCCCTTCCCGCCCACTTGCCCCTGTGGTCCTTTCTTTCCTTAGGGCTGGCAGGGCGCCGAGTGGCCAGCTGCTGGGCTCCCTGTGGGGCCTAGAGGACCTGGGAACAGAGCCTGGCTCGGTGTAGGTTAGGGACTGAGCTAAGAGAGTGACATGGACCCTGCCCCCAGCGAGGACTGTCTGCCTCCGTTTCACAGATGGGCACGCTGGGGCTCGCAGGGGCCGGAGCCAGGGCTCACTGATGCTGTTCTTGGGCTGGAAGATCTCGTTGTAGTCCTCGGCGTTCTGGATCTCGGCCCGGGACTCCCGCTCGTCCCGGTCATCCTCGCTGCTGGGGCTGCGGCGCTCGCTTTCCGAGTTCTGCTTCACCCTGGGGGCGGCCGAAAGGAGGCCGGGGCCCAGTGAGGCCGGGCTGGGCCCCCCAACGCCTCCCTGGGGGGATAGGTCCCCCTCCTGTGCCCCCCAGCACCCTCTGAGGCCCCAGCCCACCTCTGAGGCTTGCTGCAGGCTGTGCTGGGCCGCTCGTAGATGCGTCGAAGGGGGGCATTGGGGAGGGGCGGCTGCTGTGCCAGGGGCCGGCTGTCCTGCACGGGGTCCTGGGCCACCGTGCCTGTCCTGGTGACCCGAGTCAGGTCCACCACATAAGAGGAGACGTTGCTCTGGGAGAAGGCCACACCTATCTGCAGGAAGTGGCAGAGCTGGGGCCGGACCCTTCGCAGCAGCGGCTGGGGTAGCAGTGGGCAGGATCCCGCAGAGCCGGTGGGATTAGGGCCTGGGATGGAGGGGGGCGGACAGCCCGGTGGGAGGGTGGGTGGTGGCTCTCTCACCAGCTGGTCGTTGCAGATGGCCAGGTCAGCCACCTTGCCCCAGTTGACAAGAACCACGTCAAAGCAGCGCTCGGGCTCCCAGCCGTAG